TTAACCAACAAGAAATTTGAATAACTCAGATAGCATATATCATTGATTTACATGAATATTACAAACTATAGAAAACATTCATGATATATTTAAAAAACTTGGATCATAAAAAAAACTTAGAAAAAACCCTGCAAGAAACTGAGTCCAATGACTTGCTCGACATTGTCTCTTAATATTAGAACCAACACCAAAACACCCTGCAACCTTTCCTTCTACGGTTCCGCCCATGGCTGCATCACACTTAGGAACATCGATAAAAAAAAACAATTGCCTTGCGAAGGAGACATCAACAGGTGTGAATTAACGTTCTCGAGATGCTACATGACCCATAATTGTTTGAGTGAGAAGGGACCCGTAAAAGAAATCGTGTGCAATATGCATTTTATAGAGAGATCCTGATGAAACCCTTCAGTAAAATGACCTATACATCTTTAGAAATTATCATCAATAAAATACGTCAACGAGTAATAAACTAATGGATCACATACGTAATTTCCTCGAGAAACAACAAAAACAACTATAAACTGAAAGACCAGCGTGTTGGCTAGATTTAATGAGGTTATGTCTTTACATAGATTAGGTACAGTTTATCAGATTCAAATGACAAATAAATAATCGAACATGAATACGATTCGAGTTTGAATTTGAGATATAACAATAACTTATATTCTCTAGTTATGATGAGAATGACAGAACTTATTTTCTTCCCTATTTTACTAAAATTATATTTGAAAATAAAGCTATTGTCAAATGGAGGTCAAATCAAATGGGCTGAATTTTTTTGTAACAAATTGGGCCAATGTTGTTTGGGCTTATCATTTAAGAGTCGTATAATATTCACAACTTCGGGCCACAACACTCGTAAATACACATGAGTCGGTTAAATAGTTCACATAAGCGTTTTGTACATGCAAGGAGCTCAATCCTTAAATGAATTATAATTTCCACATCGTTACCATCTCACCATGACCTTTGTCTTCTTGTGCACGAATACGAATCTGGAACTTATTGTGCTAAGCACGGGGGATTTTATAGTGTTTCCTTGACACCAATGATACTCTCTTTTAAGTACAATATTACATAAAATGAATTTAGGAAATTAAAACCTAGATTTTAATGTCATGGTCTAATTTTAAACTTTGAAATTGTCAACGTCGATATTTGTTCTTTAAGTAACAAGTGATCAGATTTGACATGTATTTTCAACGGTATATGGTTTTTTAACCTCATTTTTAATGGTCATGCAAAAGAATTCTTCAACCACTGTATATATGGATCTATATAAAGTTTTACAAAACATTCAATCACAAGTTTTGGATTTTGAGTCTAACGACTTTAGAGATTTGATCATAAAGACTTGAGACAGCTTTATGATAGGCACTCTCTTAGTCAAATGATATATACAATTAAGAATGGACCAGTTTTACAATAATTTAATTTTTTATGTTCTTGTCATCATCATAAATCTTTCAAAATTTGCAGGCCTTCCTCTTTAGAAATAAAAGAATATCTTATTAAAAATAAAAAAAAATCATTTTTTAATATTTGAAAATAGATTATATTTAATGGGATACTGTAAATCATTTCAAACACGTTGTTTGGGGATAGTATTAATGGGTCACTTCATTAATCAACTCGATCATTGGTTACATATTTGAATAAATGTTTCACTAAGTATCATTTTCTCAAATTTTACTCTTGTTATTATCATCTTCAATAATTACTTTTAATTAATATTAATTTCAAATTATTGATTTTAATAACTAATAAATATGACTTATTAACTACTTTGAATTAATTAATTNACTGTGACCAAAAGGAAACAAATATGTGTATATGTTTAAACACAATTGATGCGAATCCGTCACATTTTTTGTAGATCACTTTGTCTTTATGAGAACATCTCTTGTCAAATGGTGAATGGAAAGAGTTGATTGATGATTGGTGCTTCTTTCACTTTGCGTTTTCATGGTGATGAGTGTTGATGGATCCATTTCTGAAAAGAAATTTTGTTTTACAACAAGACAGTATTAAAGGTAAAAGAATTGCAAAAACTGAAGAGGAAGGGTTTCAAATGATAACAATTTTTCTCATCTTCATCTTTGAGTTGGGAGGTTTGGGAATCTAAAAAAATATTGGTCAGAAAACAACATTTAGTGCTGATGTATATTGTTACTCGAATTGTTTTATATTTAATAAGATTTAATTATATTAATCGTTTTATGTTATTATTATTTGATATATTCGGTTAAAAAACAAATATAATAATCTAAAAAATGTTTTTATAAGTTATATAAAAGTTAAAGTCATATTTTCTAGTTTTTCAGCTATTAACTAGTTTGTCAAACGTAAAAGAGTAATAAAGCAAATGTTTTCTCAGTATTTGTCATTAAGCCTGCATTTGGTACATGGGACGAGACAGGACAGGACGGAACAAAACTCACTGTCCCATGTTTGGCGCAGCATGAGACAAAACAAGAACTCACTCTCCCACGTTTGGCGCGACATGGGACAGAGACAAGAACTGGGACAAGGTGAGACAACATGAGACAAAAGATTTTTTTTCTTGTTCCACCAAAATAGGTGGAACAAGATGGGACAAGAATAAGACATAGACTAAAATAATACTAGTCTATCTGAGTTTGATATATAACCTTAATATGATATTTGTTTTAATGGTCATCACGGCTAGTTTCGGCTGCCGCCACCACTACCGGCAGTCACCGGCGGCCACCTCCACCTCCACCTCCTCTTCCACTACAACAACATCCTCCACCGCCTCCACAGTCACCGTCCACCAAGTCCATTGCCACCTCTACCACAGTCGACCACCGACCACCACTACCATCGTTCGCCACCTTCAACTCCTCCTCTACTGCAACAACTTCCTCCACGACCATCATCGGCCACCACCATTCATTACCACCTCACCTCCACCATAACCACCACCACCACCACCACCACTATCTTCATTACATCAAACACAACTACACTGTTGTCAACCGCCACCACCACCACAATCTACCTTCATGTCCTCTATAACCACCGTCGTCCACCAAGCACCACTGCCTCTACCTCCATAACCACTGCCAGCCACCGACCACCATCGCCCGTTGCCACTATTACCATCGGCCACCGACCACCACCGCCCGTTGCCATTACCATCGTCGGCCACCACCACCTCCACCATAACCAAAACCACCTCCACATCCACCACCACCACCACCACTACCATCAATTATATCAAAATTTTCATTCAAATTTGGTACACATGTGAAAATTATGTACAAATATTTATAAATTAAATTATTAAATAATTTATTTTATTTGTGATAATTATAACTATTATATAATTTTTAAAATCATCAAATAACTTTTGGGGGTAGCTTGTCTAGTTCTGTCCCGTCCGGTCCTAGTCGTACCAAACACCAGACATATTCCTGTTATGTCCAGTCATGTCCCGTCCAGTCCTACCCGCTTGTCCTGTCATGTTTTATCCCGTCCAATTATGTTTGCGTACCAAACGCTACCTAACATTTGTACAAATTCTTGATGGGCATTTAAATACTATACAAAATAATTTCATTTATTCATAAAAATATATTCTGCAACACTCTAAAAGCAAAACAACAAAACCTTCCGTATTTTTGGTTGAAAACCACCAAAAAAAACCTTAATTGTAATATGTTAAACAACTACACGTCTAGTAGGAGTTAATTGATATGTTTTGGACTTTTTCTTTGTCACGTTTAAGTTTTTGTTTTAATTAAATATTGACAACGTTAATCAATCATTGTAAGTTTTTAAATCCAACTGAACTCATAGAATGTTACATGACTGTTTTCAACAAGACTAATTTCGACCAAAATATAAATTGTTATATTAGAAACCAATGGCATAAAATTGCTTGATATGTGGTTACAATATTTTTGATCCACTAAAATTACGTAACAGTTTACAAATATTTATAATAAATAATATTTTGAATCATTAATAGATATAGCATTTTTCATGGAACTTCCAATAAAACAAAGTTTGAATTGGTCATTTGAGAAGAAAATGAAACACAAGAATCCAAATATTAAACATCATTTTCATATATAATTTCGTCTTAGAATCCAGACTAGAGAAGCAAAGTTAAACACTCCCATCCAAACCATTTACATTTCTGTTATTGTTTTTTATTTATTTAAAGGATGTAACTAATTATCTCATTTTATATGATTAAGTATTTAAATTAAATTATTTTTTTAAATATAAAAGCTATTCAACTTTCTCATTTTAAATAACTAATGGATCGTTTACCAAATACTAAGTGCTTACCGGTAAAATTTAACACTACTATTTACCTACCGGGTAAGATTTTAGTCCACCAAAACGACACCGCATGTAACAGTTTACACAGTAAGAACTTACCGGACAAGACTCCTGGTCCTTGTCTCGTTCTTACCGCGAAAGATTCTTGGTCCGTACCATATTCATCCAGTGAGCCGGTGAGGTAATTTGACTTGGTAAGCGTTTGCTAAACGGCCTCTAAGTCTCTGAACTATTTTTTAAATAAACTATTAAATTTTTTTTTTTGAATGATTAAATTTTTGAATTTTTTTTAATAAATAAATTATTCAACTTTTAAAAATTGGTAAAAAAAACCTATATGTAACCAAGTTAAAAACTCTTGAACTAAAAAAATCATTTTTTACACCCTTCAAACCCCTTCTAACAACGGCATCACTCTCGCTCGCCACTTCCTATCGCTTCATTATTGTATGTCTTTCATATCAGCTATCACACTATTGGTCCTGCACTTATATATTTAATTCAGTTTCCATTTTCTTTTATCAATAAATGAGTGATGTGGCTTTACATTTACATGATTGGTGGAGAAAAGAGAGGAGGCCATATTTTTATTAATTTAAAAATACTTAATTATTTTGAATAAAAGAACTCCCTTTCAACTGTTTATAAAGCAAGCATGTAGATGTAGCCAATGAAGGATATGCAAGAAACACAAGACCATGGAATTCTTCAAACCTCATACTCTTTTCCTTTTCATTCTCACCATTTCTAGCATCACTAACTCCATGGATTCTTCCCATCATGCCCCAAACAAAGGGGCTTATTGGCCTTCTTGGTCCGATTTATCGCCATCCGCCATCGACACCACTCTCTTCACCCACGTTTATTACGCTTTTCTTTCGCCTAGTAACATCACCTTCAAGTTCGAAATCGATAATCCCACCGCTCTCTTGCTCAAAAACTTCACCACCTCCCTCCATAAAAAGAAACCGCCCGTCAAAACGTTGTTTTCCATCGGTGGTGGCTCAGAAGGCTGGTTAATCTTTTCCCGCATGGCCTCGAGCCATGGCTCGAGAAAGACTTTCATTCTTTCCACTATCGAAGTGGCAAGAAAGTTTGAATTCGATGGAGTTGACCTAGATTGGGAGTTCCCTCGGACCCCAAGTGACATGGCGAACCTTGGCCGCTTGCTTCGCCAGTGGCGAGCCGCAGTCAAGAAAGAAGCTAAGGCAACCGGAAAATGTCAACTTCTTCTTTCGGCCGCCACGTACTACTCGCCGGAAGTCCGGCTAGACGGTGTGTATCGGAAGTATCCGGTGGATTCGATAAACAAGAATCTTGATTGGATAAATGCCATGTGTTACGACTACCACGGGCCGTGGGATCGGTCAGCAACCGGGGCTCTAGCTTCATTGTATGATCCGAATAGCAATGTGAGCACGAGCCACGGGCTACAATCGTGGATCGGAGCTAAGATCCGAAGAGAAAAGTTGGTGATGGGATTGCCATTATATGGTCGGACCTGGCAACTAAAGGATCCGTCTTTATATGGTATCGGAGCTCCGGCTGTGGATATAGGACCAGGGACTGATGGCCAAATGTCGTATGCTGACGTGGAAAAGTTCAATGCCCAAAACAATGCCACGGTGGTGTTTGACTTGTTAACGGTATCGGCTTATTCATTTGCGGGGACTTCTTGGATCGGATACGATGATGTTAGATCGGTGACATTGAAGGTGGCGTATGCACGAGCTCTTAATTTGGGCGGGTATTTCTTCTGGGCGGTCAGCGGTGATCAAAACTGGAAAATCTCACAACAAGGTGAAAATTTGATTTAAATATTTTTTATATATAAATATATTGCTTAAAGTTAACTTAACCCGCTTCCGTATTCAAAACCGATAATAAATGGATTCTAACATTCGGTTTTGGAATCTGTGCAGCTTCAGAGACATGGATTCTTTGAAAAACCGAGGGCAGGGCTTTCGAACGGAAACGTGCGTCTTTGATTATATGTCTAGAAATGTATTTCATAATGTCGAAATGAGAAGTGATATAGAGATGTGAAAATGAATCTTGTACAAGGATGTTTTTTGTTCTTGTTAATCGTAGTATTTGATTTCTAATCGACTATACCCACGTGTTAATGATGGTTTGTCTCGTATGTTTGAGCCCGAACAAAGTTTGAAATTATCTACACATAATTGTACTCTATGGTATCATAAGATGATGCATCGCTTGGTAATTCTCAGTGAGCCAAACCGGACAACGTGCTTTAGTGTCGAGTATGAACAATTATAAATCAAACTATATTATATTTTTAAAATTTTAACAAGAAAATGGATGTAAAACTAGAATGCAAACTAGAGATGCACAAGTTCGGCATTCTAACTCCGTTTTTAACGAGTAAATAAAAGGACCGGCCCAGCCAAAAAAAAAACCTTAATTAATCGGGCCCGGTTTTTAAGGACTGGACTTCATGTTTGAGTTTTATTATGCATCCTTAATTCAAACATTTGTTTTTAGAAAAACTTAGGGGCCGTTTACCTAAACACTTATTCGGTAAGTACTTATCGGTAAAATTTAACATTATCGTTTATTTACTGGGTAAGGTTTTATTCACTAAAACGCATCGTATGCAATAATTTATCCCGGTAAGCGTTAATCATGCCCTCACTTACCGGGTAAGATTCTCAATTCTTGCTTTCGCTCTTACCGGGTAAGATTTTTAGTCCTTGTCATATTCATCCGATAAATTTGAAGTGGTCTTGAGAAAGTGACAATGTTTTTATTTTTGAATGAATATAAATTTGAAAATAACATAAGAATTTGAAAAAAATAATAAATCGATATTAGCATCAAATTAAATTATTCCTTATTTTTTTGGTGTAAATTATTTAATTGAATTTTTTAATGTTAGAACTCAATAATTATCTTAATTATATTTTAAATTTTCTATATTTAAAATGAATGTTTATCATGTATTTGATTATGTTTATCTACAATTAGTTACACGAATTGAAAAATGGAGTTTTAATAAGTTGTACTTACGCAAGATTACTTGTAATCTTGAATTTTAAATAATATGTATCAATAAACAATACTTCATACATAAAAAATGTTTTTTAAGAGTTTTTGTCAAATTATTTATAATATAGTATTGATAACACTTCTTTTTTGTTGTTGTAAAACTGCGATATAAATGTGACATTTGTTGATTAACAATCCGCTTACAATATATTTATGACATAAATTCGTTTTTTAGAGTACTTGATAGTTGATAATTCATTAAAAAAAACCTTTATTAAATTTTTTAAGCATTGGGCCGGACTCAGACCTAGCATTCGGGTCCGGGTATTGGATTTACCTCAAACTGGGCTTTCAAGCCTGATCCACCCATGGCGGAGACCTAGCTAAATAAATCTCTTTTCACTGTCTCAGCTTTTCAGGACGAAGACAAAGAAGGGAAGAACGCAGCCGCCAACGCCATGGTAATCTCTCTTTCTCTAGTTTCTCCATTGTTAGATTCATCATACCGTTTTTTCTTAAAATAAGCTCTTTTCAGTGGTATTGTTGCTTTCTAACGATGCCGGAGATCGAAATGATATCTTGTCTTTGGGGTTTGATACAATTTAATCTTACGGTTCTGGGACTTAACGGATTAACTTGTTAACTTCTTCCGGAATATAGTGTCTTTTATTTGAGGTTTTAGAATTTTATAGTCTCTGGTTGGTTTTTAGGGTTTGAAGTGATTGATTAGAGGCTATATTTGATCTAGGGTTTTGAATATGATTTATTGTTCGTTTGGTTATGTTATCGTCTATGCCTTCACTGTTGGAGATTGTTGAAGTTGAATTTAGATCATATACATGTTAAGCGAGTACCATTTGCGTTGTTTCTTTTATAATTGATGAGATTTATGCTTCAGGAAGCTACGTTTCCATGTATAATGGGCTGATAACCTGCCCTGATGCTAGCATAATTACTGCCAACATGCTAAATTGTCACCACTTCATTCCTGTTTAGATGACAATCATTTCTACGCATTGTTATTTTTGTATAATAAAGTCAGAATCTTTAATGGCAACTTTAGCCACAATTTCTGATTCATATTTGATCCCTTTGCCGAACCACAGACAAGTTCTCATCTATTTTGTTGGCTTCTTTTTACCAAAAGTCGAGTTTAAAAGCTTTTCCAAGCACATTCCTGATCGACTTCGCCTGTAACATGTTGTCTTGTTGCTAACTAGAGCCGGGCATTTGATTTGGTCTTCTCTGCCGACAATCCCTTTCCGCAAATCAACAAGAATGATATTGATTTGGGTTTGCAAGATGCCTAATTTCATCTTTGTTGAAGTTTTGCATTTGATTAATTGACATGAGATGCTGGGACTGTTCTGGTTTCCCATCCAGAGGCAATTATAAACTAGAACTAATAATAACTTCACCTTTTCACTGTCACTGGTCTCATTTCTAATGGTTCTCTCCTACTTGGTGCTTACCCAATCCTCCTTATCTTAGCTTATTTTTGTGATTTTGATCTTGAGTGTGTATTTTGCGTTACAGCCGTCTCACAAGTCATTCATGATCAAGAAGAAGCTGGCAAAGAAGATGAGGCAGAACAGGCCCATTCCTCACTGGATTCGCATGAGGACCGACAACACCATCAGGTCAACCATGGATCCTGCCTCTATTAGCACAGCTGTGATTTTGCTTCTGACCTGTTCTTGACGTAACTTTTTCTTATGATTAAGGTATAATGCTAAACGTAGGCATTGGCGCAGAACCAAGCTTGGATTCTGAGGTGCTTTGCTGTTGCAGTTTTCCCAAATCCAGCCAAGAATCAAAGTTTTAGCTCCTAGTGTTGTGTTTTAGGTTAAATGAGGGATTTTGATCATATTGTTGTGACTGGTTCATTTTTAGTATTTTGATGCAGATGATGGTTTGTTGTATTATGGATGGTTGGTAAATTCCCATGGTTTGATGTAAAATTATGTTCTATTGTATCATGGATGCATGCATACTTGATTAGATAATATGATATGATAATACGATATGATGTTGCGGGGAAGAAAATGTCATCATCATTAGTCTCCCATTGCTTTGGTTTCTGTAAGGGGTTAGTTTGTTTACCTCTTAATAGTTTCATTAAGAGGCAGCCTCTGAATCGTTAAGAGGTGAATTATATTTAGGGAAAAAAAGGTCCGCCTTCTAATGGTTTTAAAATCCTTTGAATGATTTTGTATCTTGGATCTCTTTTAATCATTAAGAGTCCTAATTTCATTGTATACAATTATCAAATAATTATATTTCATTTTGTACTATATCATGAGATCCTCTTAATCATTATGATCACTTAATTATTCTGCATTAAACTATTCAGCAATTGCTAAACAGAATGCTATTAGCTAAAGTACAATATTTTTTGGGTGATTTTCAATTTTTGTTACATATTATATTTTTAATTATAAGTTTATAAATTTTGTTTAGTTGGAGATAATATATGACTAAAATTTGAAACGTTTTTAAGTAAATAGTCAAAATTTAGTCACTTTTATGTTATCTATATAAAATATTTGATAACAACTTTTAACAATTACTTTTTATGTATGAAATATTGTTTATTGATGTATATTACTTAAAATTCAAGTTTACAAGTAAATTGTGTATAAGTACAATATATTAAAACTCCATGTTTGAATTCGTGTAACTAACTGTGGATAAATATAACTAAATACAAAATAAACATTTCATTTTAAAATATAAAAAATATAAAATATAATATGGATAATAATTATTGAGTTCTAACAAAATAATTAATTATTATTTTTATAAAAAAATTATGTTACTAAACCAAATATAAATTACTTTGTTATTGAATCGAAATTAAATTATAATAAAAAAATTGAATAAGAAAATTACACAAAAAATGAGAAATTTGAAATAGTTAATTTGGTACTAATATCAATATATTTTTGTCAAAATTTGATAATATTTTCATATTTATATTTTATTCAAAATAAAAACATTATCACATTTTCAAAATCACATAAAACTATGTTATAACATTAACTGAGATAAAGAATAAAACATAATATTAAAATCAAGATATATCTTATTGCAATGTACGAGTACCTGTCTAGTAGTCTAAATAATTGTTTGAAGTACAACCCTTGACCAAGAAGTCTAATATCAAAATGAACCTTCATTCTTGTCTACATTGACCTGCGACCAACCTAAAGTCTATCAAAACTAAACGCCTAAACAGAGTCCCCCAAAACCAAATCAACCCGAAAGACCATTCACAAGCGTATACATATAAATGTTTAACTAAAATTAAATTGATAAATCACTGTTAAAATGAGAATACAACAAGTATATGCAAATAACTAAAGGTTGATGTTTCATACCTCATAGCAAACTGACATCAATGGAGGGAGGGAAAGACGACCCCGATTGACAAACGCAATATTAGCTACAGAGACGACCTCAATATAGGCAATGAATATTTGTTATTTATAGTATTTTATCATTTCAATAAATTTGAGGCTGTTTTTGTAAAATGTCAAAAACTTGGGGGGCGAATTGAAACAAAATAACTTTGCCGCTAAAATGAACCATTGAAATCAATTATTAACCCGAATTAATATTCCCGCTATTTCCCCTTTACCGCCGCCCTTGAGCGGTTGTGTATATATCTCTCTCGCTCTCTTTCTCCACCATTTTTCTCTCTAGAAATGGCGCCTCAGAGACTCACAGAGTACGAGCGCAAACGTCTCGAAAACATCAAGCGCAACGATGAACTGCTCGCTTCTCTCAAGATCCATTCAAAGCTTGCCGATCTATCTGCCTCCGCTAAGCGCCAAAGGTTTTTCTTTCACTCTCTCTCTCTATATGTATTTGCATAAACTGAAACGTGATTTGCTTATGGAAATCGTGCACTTGCTGAATCCTTATGTTATTTCGTTGTTGTATTGAACAGGCTGCAGATTAAATCTTACAGAGTTAGTCCAGAGAAGAAAGTAAAACCTGAAACCCCAATCGTAATCCGTAGATCTCTCAGAACCCAAGGAAAAGAGCCAGATTCTGCAACAATACCCAAATCACTAGTTATCCCTAAAAAACCGCCTCATGAATTGGTCCCGATTAGTATGGCAGATGCGAATACTTGTTCTGAATCGGATCAAGTACTTGTGGAGAAGATTTTGAGCGTCTGCCGAATGAAAGATGGTGATAGTGATGGAGGTTATGCGAAGAAGGGTATTGGATTAAGGGTGAGGGGGTCCATTGATTTGGAGTCGATGGAGTTGGCACCAGAGAATATTGCACGAGTTGTGGCAGGCAGGATACTGTCAGTTAAATTCTTTCCATCAGCAGATATGAGAATGGTCGTTGTGGGGGACAAATTTGGAAATGTTGGGTTTTGGAATGTGGATTCAGAAAATGAGGATGGAGACGGGATTCACACGTATCAACCTCATTCAGCTCCTGTTTCAGGGATTCTGATTCATCCGTTTTGCATGAACAAGGTACTTCTCAAGTTTTCTTGTTTGCTTTCTGTTAAACAATGTATACTTAGAGTTCAGGTTTTGTGATGGAGTGCCTGTTTACCTCTTAAAGCTTTCGATTATGATTAACGTTTTGATTGTGGGAAATTACTTATGATTCTTATGCACTTCTTTTGGTATTGATTCACGTTAGCTCATCAAAACCAGCCGTGTGGTGTTTTTCTAATCTTGATTAGTTTAATATATGCCCACTAATACTCAAATTATGTCAATGCTACTTGAGATTAAGAATCATGATCCTGGCATCATTCTAATTATCCCCTTTTTCTTCTTCTGTTCCATAATGTTATTCCCTTGACTAATACAAGATCAATCAAATAACTATAATACTTGCTTATTGTGCTAAAATTTTGTAGGGCTAACCTTTTCGAACATAGGGAGCATTCATTTCTCTGTTTTTAATGTTGAGTCATGCTCATGTTACTTATGCAGATAATTACAAGCTGTTATGATGGTCTTATTCGCTTGTTAGATATTGAAAAGGAGATATTTGGTTTGGCATATTCGACTGATGATTCAATTTTTTCTATGTCCCAACGGCCTGATGATATGAACTCCACATATTTTGGTGAGGGTAATGGAGTACTCTGTATCTGGGATGAAAGGTCTGGGAAGACATCGTTATCATGGAACTTACACGAGTCTAGGATCAACACTATAGATTTTAATTCAGAAAATACCAATACCATGGCTACATGTTCCTCAGATGGAACTGCTTGCATTTGGGATTTGAGGAAACTCAGTAAAAGGAAGCCAGAATCTCTTAAGCTGGTTGCTCATAAGAGGGCTGTACATTCTGCTTTCTTCTCTCCTTCAGGAAGCCTTCTTGCTACTACAAGGTACACTACATCCTTCTTTTCGAAGTTTACTTGGATTCAGTATTGATTAAGCAAGTTATTAATCAATTCTTTTCACTTTGTCTGCTAAGATACATGTTATGGTCTTGATGTTTAAATCTTGAAATAGCCTTGATGACACGATTGGACTGGTAAGCGGAGAGAACTATGAGGATGAGTTGATGATAAACCATAACAATCGGACAGGCAGATGGCTTTCTACATTCAGGTATGTATTTTGTTAGAAATTCTGATCTTAATGTTGGAAATTAGAAATCTAAAAGAAATGATTGAATGTGTGTTTTGTTGCAGAGGTGTATGGGGGTGGGATGATTCATATATGTTTGTAGGAAACATGAAGAGAGGGGTTGATGTGATATCAACAGCAACAGAAGAGATGAGAGTTGTTTCTACACTTGAGAGCCCTCACATGTCTGCAATCCCATGTCGTTTTGATCCTCATCCCTTGAACCCTGGGATGCTTGCAGGGACCACAGCTGGAGGACAGGTCTATATCTGGACCTCCTCTTCATAACCACCTGTCTAGTTTTATCTATCAGATCATTTGGTTTTGGATGTTTATATCATGTGATGGCTTAATCGCCAATTTTTGTAAGTTATGATCATTTCGAGGTGGAAAAACTTTTATAAACCAAGACACATCTTCACTTTCGCAATATATGTACGTTGGGAAGAAACTTTAGGGTTTAAAACGAATATTTTTCCCAATTGACGTCCTTGACTATTTACATGTTAGGACTGTTGTCATTGGTTAATTTAATTCAAAAACTAATCAGATTAGGTAAATGCTTTGTTAAAAACAAATTAAATCAACTCTAACTTTCGTTAGAATCAAAATAAATTAAAATCCAACATCCGTTTTAAGAACAATTGATCAATATCAAAACCTTGATGCTAAGCAATGATTACCCAATACGAGGATTACTAATTAAAACCAAGAAACAATTTAGTTAGAAGTGCAGAAAAATCGAAACTTTGATACAAACCAACAAGAACATTTAAGGATTGAAGGAGAAAACTCAAGAACGATTTATTTAGTAATAATATTCGGACAAAACACAAGTTAATCAAATAAACTAAAGGGATAGGGAAGAAAATATTCAATAACGTATGAAGAACCGAATGTGAATCGGATTCCAATGGCAAAAGCTTCAAACCTGGATCTTCTTCCCCAAGATTGGAAAGGTCTACCAAGAAACTTGCAAAAACCAAAATATTGTGTTCTGAGGGAAAAATACGACTGATAAAAGCAAATATAAAGGCAAGCCAAAAGTACCAAAAAGCCTTTAAAAGTTTGGCTGTTAGGCACCTTTCACGACCATGAAGACACCCCCTTTACAGGAGTGAAAGCAAACAAAAAGTTGCGATTTTTTCTCATACCAGGTTTAATGGCGTAAAAAAGTATGCTTCACCCCCATGAAAGCAAACATAATGTAATATTGCTTTATGAGATGTTTTCTTCGTGACCCTAAAGGCCTTAGCGCATGCAAAGCGTGGCAAATCTCTAATCTTAAATTTTTTTACTTTTTGCTCCAATCTTTCATCATCATGAGTACAAATCTCCTCCTTCACTTCCTTCTTGGCATCACTCTTCAATCCATCTAATTCATCCACCATGTTGCTTTCAACACTTTGCATAAATATGTATAAAAGCATACCAAAAGCATAACAACTATTGCAAAAGCCATTTCAACCGTGATTCGAGAAAGAAGCGGACAACAGCAAAAATGCATGAAAAGACTAAAATAAGGATTAAAATGCATAACTAAAATATACAAAGTTAAGTACATAAAATTCACTTACCAATCAACTTTTATTCATGTTCATCAATTTGGTTTCGTACGTTGTTGGACGGTTTGTGCATCATGATGGAGTGTTGTAATATTTGTATTACATTCTTTATGTTCACAAAGAATTAGAGCACTGAGAGATATTATATAAAGTTATGTACTCCACATTTTCTTCTTTGTTTCAATGGTCTATGGATTTTTATCTTCATTGTAAACAATATTATTTCCAAACACACATACACTACAGCCTTTTTTTTCAAAGATAATTTGTAATGTCGACTCTGATTTGTCTTGTTTTCTTCAGTGTTCTGTTTTATCAAACAATAAGCATAACACCTTCTACTAGTACTATAACTCATGTTTCTTAAATTCAAGTTACACAAGTTTCAGCATCAATCGACCGACTAATATAAAGAAAACACATATCTCAAGCTTTCCGAAGAATCACACGCCTTTCTCTCTTGTATTCAACTTCATCCCTCTGATGCATTATTATCAGTGCTCTCCTTACCTGTCAAAACATCATCGTCAGTTGGTTATAACCACAGATAGATCGATAGATAAATAATATATGAAAATGGAATCTCACTATAGATTCATTCAACCCCATCCTCGTCAGATCATCAATCAGTCTTCTCTCTGATAAATGACTTCCAATTCCCATTCTTCTCTTTATTTGGCTTTCCGCTTGCTGTACACCAACACAACACAACCCATCATAATCATACATCTAAACTTTGCCTACTCCCAGTATAAAAAAAAGAATAATACCTTTATCTCATTTGCCATCTCAGGAGTAAGATTAATATGCTGGTTTATTCCAGATTTTGCAGCATCCATCGTTGAGTTGTTGAAAAGTCTAATAGCTTCCTGTACATGGTTGTCATTTGCAACATTTGACCTATAATAACATAAACAAAGTGTTTATATACAAGTAATCTCGACACTAAACTGCCACTAGTCTGTCTGTTACTAGACGAAACTTGTGTTTATCATAAAATGTTCAACAAGGTTCCTATTTAAGAGTCAAGGTCTTTTCAGTAACTTACAGTCTCATCTTTGCTAGTGACTCGCTCAACCTTACGATAGCTTCCAGCTGCCTTACAGTTATTGGTACAGCAGTTGATTCCCCAGTTTCATTTGCCTGTCGCCTCATATCCTACATGCAGTAAACATTTTGTGGCATAGTAAGTTTCTGGCATTAAATTTAAACTCAACACATTGTATTTTATCACGTCACTTTTGGCAACCCAGCATCTATTATGGCCATACCTGTCTAATTCTAACATAACTCTCCTGCAACAATGTGGCTGCAGAATCTGATAAACGCGGTTGACTCATGGTTCGACAGTACTGAATATACCTGCAGAGAGAATTGTGGTTTAGCCCTTCAGCATAGGGCAATCAACCTTGATAAAAGAATGACAGTAGATACTTTCACAGTGCAGACCTTTTAAGCCAGTTGTCGTCTTTGGTATCCCTAGCATCGTTGGCTGAATCAGCAGATGCATGGACTCTAATAATATGACTAGCTATATTCTGCATAAGCAAAACAAAATGTTGCTCAATATTTTGTTGCACACTGTTTCAGTTTAACAATTTATGTTGTGAAAGCTTCTACATTTGTATTGTCCCATTTCTGATAATCTGAATTTGCTTCCAACAGTCTCACAACTCAAGGTAAACAGAAACACATGATTACATAATACAACAGTTAACTACCTTGTCTTGGCTGTACATCCTAATATCTTTCACGATGAAGATCAGGTCAAATCTTGAAAGAATTGTGGTCTGTAAATCAATATTATCTTGTGCAGTCTGCAATACAGAGATGCTGTTAGTTGATTGGCAAATGACCTTAGAGATGCAGAGCAAGTTATAATAAAAATAAAAAGGGTACTTGGTGGCATCTGTATGTACCTTAAGATCATCATAACGCCCTGATGGAGGATTTGCTGCTGCAAGCACAGAGGTTCTAGAGTTCAGAACAGTTGTTATCCCTGCTTTAGCAATTGATATTGTTTGCTGTTCCATGGCTTCATGTATAGCAACCCTAATTTTGCATGTGTAAATATGTTAGAATTTTCAGGACAATACAGAGTACAGAACAATCTGGTTTCATCTAACCTGTCCTCTGGTCTCATTTTGTCAAATTCATCTATGCAGACAACACCCCCATCAGCCAAAACCATGGCTCCTCCTTCCAGATAAAACTCGCGCTGAATCATACACAATTTCAAATTAGTGTTGGAGGACAAGGCATACCTGTTCAAGAAGATATCTAAGAGAAACAAAAAACAAGAAAGCCTACACTATTGACAAGCAAAACAACTTACAGTGCTGTTGTCACGAATGACAGAAGCCGTAAGCCCCGCAGCAGATGAGCCTTTCCCAGAAGTATATACGGCTACAGGAGCTGTCTTCTCGACAAACTTAAGAAACTACACAGAACATTATTTCAATAGAGGAACTTGATTTTAGTAGAAGCAGAAAAACAATTAGCTAATGGTCTAAAGCCTCATCCTACAAGAAATATATTCTTCTGTATTATCACCACATAAGCAGCTAAGAGGCTTTGGACACAAATCGACCCCTGAAGAACCAAGCAAGAGTTTAATCTGACCTGTGATTTTGCGGTGGATGGGTCCCCCAAGAGTAGAACATTGATATCACCCCTCAATTTCACACCATCAGGCAAAGTCTGTACAAATAGAGGAAGTGAGCTGCTAAATGATCAAGTGCAGACAATAAAATAAAAAAAACAACGTGACAATAAATACCTTCCTCGATCCTCCAAACAGGAGACAAGCCACAGCTTTTTTTACATTTTCATGGCCAAATATGGATGGAGCAATTTTGGAACATATGTTTTCATATACATTGCCTTCAGATGCAAATTTTTTGAATTCTTCAATCTGAAAACATATGGAGCTAACCACTAAGTAACAACAAGCAACATCAAAGCAATAGAATCCATATTCCACACATTCATTACATAATTAGAGGTGATACAAAAGCTTCCATAGATATACTCAGACAACTCAGTATGTTGTTATTGATAAAAAGGCTGCTTGAATCCCTTTTGTAGAAAAAAGGTTTATGTACACTAAAGTGTTACATAGTTTGCATCTGATAGTAGTCACAAGTTACTCCTTCAGTCACAAAATATGCATGTCTAACATTAATCAACAGCATGCATCTTAGAATTTGACTAAATAATTTACCTCTTCTGTTGTAAAATTGGCAGGGCCACGAGAAGCTTCATTTGTTTCTTCGATTCCAACAACTCTTATATATGGTTGTCTAACTGCAACTGCTCCTTTGTGACTAGATTAAAACACAAAAACAGAGAAGAGCCAACAGATTCAGTGACACTCAATGTATGACCTTATATGTAATGCTGAATTGATGGCATGGAAATTATTACGATGTAGATGACTTGGCAGCTTGAAATATGCTGTAAATTCCCATTATGGTCAATCTTGTACCAGGCACAATTGTTTGAACAAGATGTCTATCTACAGATAGAAGCATGTTCCTTGGTAGCTCCCCTGTTGGTACATCCTTCCATTTGCAACAATAAATAGACCAAAAAGTTAACTTCATGCTAGGAAATTCAACAATGAATCTTGATAGAAAACCTCTGTGGATAAAAACTCCTTACCTCAGGGTTCTCCTGAAGTTTCAATGTCTGTTGATCAACATACTTGCTTCTATCTGGCACCACAATCCAAGGATCAATAGGGCATGGCGTTTCCCCCATCTGCAAATTTTGTGATCAGCCCACATTCCACTTGAAAAAAAGTTGAAATTTAAATAAGCCATAACAATGAGCTAGGGAACATAATTACCTGTGCCACATGATCACATGATCTTGGAACAATCGCTCCACCTAGCCCTGGGCGGCAAGGAATCACCTTCACATTTTTACAGTTCTTACACAACAAAGTCACATAAGTTGCTTTTGCCTTTGTCCGAGATGCAGCAATCGTAATCCCAGATATCTTGACTAGTTTGGATATGTATTGTGCCTAATTATAAGAATCCACAAGACATGTTAGAATGGAAACTGAGATTAGGTACAAGATTTACGAAACTGATAGGAGCGAAAGAGCAAGGCACGAACCCCAAGGGATCTCATTGATACAGGGTCCTCGTCTGATTTCAACAAAATTTGAACCTCCCCTGTCTGTGGCTCCTCCATTTCACCAGTCTCTCCAGCAACTCTTGACTTCAAATTTGCATTAACCTCTGCCGCAGCAGTTTCAAACTAACAATACAACATAGCTCAAATAAGAAGTCCATAGTTTAATTATAAAATCATATCGATGCTAATATGTATATTAGGTTTTAAAATTGAGTGTATTAGTGAAGATGTATCAACAAAAAAGTCATAAGATTAGCATCACGTATACGCCCCAGGATACACTCGAATATTTGAACATATATCTAAAGACTCGATATTTTGCAACCCACAAGAGAAACAATTTGATTCAAGTAAAAGAAATTAATTCTAAATTCATAGCACAAGCATGAGCAAATATACAGAAACCTAAACATTTGATTTACACAACAGAAATTAAAAAAAATCTTGCCCTGATTAAACCATTCATAATGTGTATGAAATCAGATGTACAGCGTATTTTGTATGAATAATTATACTATAGTTTACCAGAGGGAGGTGATCGGAAGGATTTTTCCGGAGCAAATCTCGAAGATCTTGGTCTTTGTCATAGGTGAGGAGATCGGAAAGGTTGACGAGGAGGAACTTAGGGTTTTGAATGAGGCTTTCTCTGTAAGGGAAGACGTTGGGCTCATTCTGACGAGCGAAGTTCCTGATGAACTCTTTAAACTTCCTGAGCACGGTGTGACGACTGGCCGCCTGTTCCGGATCGGTGCCGGCACCGCCGCCGTGAGGGAACTGTGCTTGGTCGCTGTAGTATACCGCACCTTCATCCCAGCCAGACATCTTGAATCTTCGATGTTCTCCTTTCTCTGATCTCTCCCGAAAACTCTGTGCGGCGACGTGTGATTTTCTCTGTCCCGACCTATTTGCTAGTAGTATATCTCAGGTATTTTGGCGGGAAGGATATGGCGGGAAATGATGAGAAGTGATCGGGTGTGTGTGGGGTGCAGTGTACTCTTTGTCTGGTTGACAACTCTACCCTTGTCTGGGTCGGGTCTAAATTTAATAATTTGGTGACTAAAAAGTTATCGGTAATTCGTTTGACCAACAAATCTATCTTATCTTCACTAATTGTGTGTCCGCGTAAAGCAGTGGAAGCCGTGAATTTTAACGATTCTGAAGTTTTATTGATTTTATTAGAAAAGATTTAATGATAATAAAAGTTACATTGGTCTTTACATATTAATACAATTTGAATAAATAAGAGTTATGGTTCCAATTATAGTCTATCGATGGAAAAAAATTGTATGACAGTTTAAAATCCAACATATTTAAACGACTCAATAAATGTGTTCAATTTACACCAAGAGCAAATAATCAAGAGATCGAGAGCGAGAGTGAAAATTCTAGAGCAATTAAATGGAAGATGAATGAGGAAACTTTTAATAACTCATGGTGAATATGAGTTTGAATCTAATATTGGGGAGTGGGGAGAAGACATAGAGGTATGAGAGAGTGAATGCATGAGTGAAAAATATCAAGACTATCTTGGAAACATGAAAAAAAAGTAATAATATGCATTGGTAACTTGTACTATATGTTATTTTAATTGTAGATTAATATATTTTAAGATTGAATGCATAAAATAATAGTAATTAATGCATTATGAGTTGTTTTTAAGACTTTGTGCATACATGTATAGTACTTTGTGCATTAAAAATTATTTTCAAGACTTTTGATAAATTTGGTTTATAAGTTAGTATAGATATACATCTAAAAATATGAATCAATATAAATATATTACATTTTCATATAATTTATCTTAACAAAAATCCTTACTGGTATGGATATCTAACTATACTATAAAACATTTAACGAAAACTCTTAAAAACCAATTTTTTTTATAGATGAGTACTGTTCATTAATGCATATTACTTAAAATTCAAGATTACAAGTAAATTGTACAATGTATTAAAGCTTTTATTTTTGAATTTGTGTATCTAACTATAGATAAAACATCTCATTTAAATATAAAAACTTTAAAATATAATTAGAATAATCGTTGTCTGACTTCTAACGGAATAGTTAATTATTATCTTTATAACGAATTATATTATTAAATCAAAAACAAATTACTTCATTATTAAATATAAATTAAATTATAATAAAAAATTAAATTAAAAAAAATATACAAAAACGATAATTTTTAAATAGTTAATTTGATACTAATATCGATATTTTTTTAGAGTTTTATAATATCTTTAAATTTATATTTTATTCAAAAATAAAAACATTATTGTTTTCTCAAACCCATGTAAAACCGCATTATATCGATGAGGACAAAGAATATTACAAAACATTAAAATCGAAATGTATCTCACTGCATTGTATGAGTATACTTATGGTATTTATTAATCCAATTGACTACTTTATTTTATACTTCTTCTGTTTTGATTGGAAAAATATTAGCATTCATTCATTTAAAAACATATGGTTTGAGGTGTTTATGCTTTCAAGAAATGGACATTTTGTATATTATTCCTTCAAACTTTACTCATAGTTGGCGATAGACATCCTTTAATCAGTCTTGTAGCACTTGTTTGATCAAGGGTTAATATATGACTGGACAAGCCCAACCGACTAATGTAAGTTTCTTTTTGCAAATCAACTAAGTTTCGTTTGGTATCCAGACAGGATAAAACATGACCAAACATAACATAACATGACAAAACAACTGTTTATGTTTAGACACGTATGGCCATAATGGACAAGACAAAATAGAAAAAGGACCAGTTTACCCCTAATGATTTATTCCACATAAAACACCTGTCGAATGTGGAAGAGTGATCCTTATGGTTAATCCTATTCACCGCAGCCTAGACATTATGGTTTGGTTTATGCCATCTCTATATTTTACCTTTCAGTTTCAATTTCAATTTCAACAACCAAGTAACAAGAAAGAAAGAAAGAAGAATACAAGTCCAGATTATTTAGAAGTAGCAATGCAAGTCCAGATTTGATTGTACATATATCTGTATGCTACAACAAAGCACGTATTGTTGATGAATGTTAATTTTCAAGAGGAGCAGCAGTATCCAGCCTCACTCTGTTCAGTCGCACCGTTCCAAGAATGTATTCCGGTAGTTCTTTTTCCTCTCTTCCCTGCAACAAAAATCCATATCATTTTCTAAACCTGTTATTACTCACAAAGACCAGAGAGCATGGATCAGTTTCTACCTCAATTAAGATGGCAAGATCAACAACAAGGCTTGTAACGTATCCAAGAACTAGACCGATCACACTCCTTGCAACCGATGAAGACCCAATATCTACATCAATCTGTACAACAAATAAACACAAAACAATAAATATTTCAACTTTTTTGAAAATCTTTACCCATTTAATTTAATAGTGAGTGATCAAGCTCAATATAAAGTAATCGTTCTTCTTATGTTTCTTACCTTAACTCCTATTCTCACATGATTCTTCGTCTTGAGAGAGGCATAAGATAAAGAGAGAAAGTGCAAGGGTCACAAGGATCTTTTTCCCTTCCAAATTTTGATGATGATGTTGATGCACGTGGTATTGTTAAGGAGAGATTTTTTGGTATTGTTCATGTAACGGGGACATCTTCTACAATTCTTAAATTTGTCATTGATACTTTATTTGCCAAACATGGATTGGGTTTGAAACAGGTAAGAGGGCAAGGTTATGACAGAGCAAGTAATATGCACGGTGAGTTCAATGGATTAAAAGCTTTGATCTTGAATGACAATAGCTCAGCATATTACATCCATTGTTTTGCTCACCAACTTCAATAAGTTGTTGTGGTGGTTGCAAATAAACACGACGGCGTTGAGAACTTCTTTAACATGTTAGGCATGGTGATCAATGTGGTGAACGCTACTTGCAAACGCAAAGACATGCTTCGACAAAGTTACAAAGATAGAGTGCAAGAAGCAATTTCTAAGTGTGAAATTGAAACAGGAACAAGGATGTACCAAGTGCTTTCTCTTATACGAGCCAGAGATACACGATGGGGTTCTCATTACAAAACCGTTTTGAGCTTCATTGCCTTGTTTCCAAATGTTGTTGAAGTGCTCTAATATGTTGAAGAGGATGGCGATAATGGTTTTAGTCGCACTCAAGCAACCGGAATTCTAGCTCATTTGAAGACGTTTGATTTTCTGATTTATTTGCACTTGATGTTTCATATTTTAGAGGTCACAAAGTTGTTGTCTTCAAAGGGCCTTCGGTCTAGCAGTATCGTAGCCCTTGGCTTCCTAGGAGGTCAAGGGTTCAAACCTCACCAAAGGTGAGGAGGGGGTGTGAGTTTATTTGTTGCATTTGCCGTATATAAATATTATATACTTCAAAAAAAAAGTTGTTGTCTTCAAAAAAGGATCAAGACATTTTGGAAGCGGTTTCATTGGTAAGAGGAACCAAACAACTATTGCAACAGTTTAGAGAAACGGTTCTGATCCACTTTCGAAGAAAATGTATTCTTTTTCTAAAGCAAATGGTATTAAATCTTTGGATATGGCGGACCGACATTCAAAAAACGGAAAACAAAGGACCAACATCACTGATAGTCGTCATTACGAGTTTGATATTTTCAACACCATTGTGGACATGCAACTTCAAGAGTTTGGGGATCAATTTAGTGAGGTAAGCACTAAATTGCTTAAAAATATAGCAGCTTTGAGTCCATGTGATTCATTTTTGCAGTTCAATATATCGGATTTATTGAAGTTGAGTGAGTTGTATCCTAATGATTTTAGTCGTATGGAAAAGATCGCTTTTGAGAAACAATTTAACATGTACTATGTGACTGTGCGTCAAGAAAGATTTGCTGATTTGAGTGGTATTGCCGAGCTTGTTAGACTGATGGTGGAAAAAAAAAACATACAACTTTACATCTAGTATATCAGTTATTGAAGTTAGCTTTTTGGCTTTGCCCGTTGCTACCGCATCAGTCGAAAGATGTTATTCTGCCATGAAAATTGTGAAGTTTGATTTGCACAACAAAATCAGTGATTGAATTTTTGAAGGCTGCATTGATATGTACCATAGAAAAAGAAATGATGATGTAATTAGCGAATTCCAAAAGATGAAAAGTCGTAGGGCACAGTTGTAAGAGGTAACTTTTTATCATCTTTAATGAAATCGTATCTATTAGTTGATTATTATTTTATTTTATATTGTTATCCCTACTATAAATTTTTCTGGATCCTTCACTGCACCAAGAAACCCTTTGCATGTACATAAAGTCATGCGGGAGACTTGTTGGGCAACTAAAGCCGCATGAAGGGCCCATTCGCCCTACTGAAAACTTCACACCAAGCCCGTTCGGACTTGTAGTGCGGGCAAAGCCACATGAATAGCCGCTCGAGCCGGTGCCTTGTGGCCGTTCCACAGAGGTCGAGGCAACACATAAAGCGACGATAAACCGCCTGGAGGATGTCGCCTGGAACCTCAACACTTGGGCGACTTTGGTCGCATGGTAGGTGGCCTAATCCATTTCTTGGATTGGAAGCAACGATCTCCACCTTTGACTTCATTCCAAATAATCATATCCAGAACAAAACTCCACCAATCTTCATCTCAAGCCAAAGCCAATCACGCGTGAAAAAATCAACACCAAATTAATCAAATTTCTCAAAAAACAATGATCCTCTGTCAATTCACACTAAGGGCATCAATACCGTCGTGCAACACCAACCAAGTCCAGACACAATGTGAATTTGGCTTTCAGAAGCGACTTAGACATATCAATTGTGTTGTCGTGAATGCTGATCTTGACCACTTCAACATCACCTTTAGCTACTACTCCACGGACATAGTGATGCCAAATATCTATATGTTTCGTTGATCATGGAACATCTGATCTTTGGTCAAGAGAACCGCACCTTGATTATCACATAAAAACTCTTCAACTTCAGATGATCACTCAATTCACCAAAAAACCTTTGTGCCAAACAGTTTCTTTCAGCTTCCATTGTAGACAAAACGACAAGTGACGGTAGGTTGCAAATGTGCCTTCCAACTAATGGCATACCCATCAAGAGTATAAACATATACAGTGATGGATCTTCTATTATCAAGATCCTTGGCATGATCGAGTAACATAGCCAAGTACCCTTGAGGAATTCTTTCCAAAGTGCAAATACAGATCTACAGTGTCCTTCAAGTAACGAAAGTTCCATTGGACGACCCTTCAATGTTCTTTACCCAAGTTGGCCATATATCTGCCCACCATAGAAACTGCATAAGCAAGGTCAAGACGAGTACAAATCATGACATACAACAAAGATCCTACAAAGCTAGAAATATGGCACTCTTGCAACATCGGCTTGAGTTGCAAACGGAGTGTTGACAGACTTTGTTTATAAGAGCGAAACACTTTGCTTCTAATAGACTTTGCCAAATAGGCAACAACGGCGAAACACTTACTCAACATACCCTTTTTGACTAATTTTCTCGCCTTTCTGTCAAGAATAATAATCCCTACCCAGAATTTCTCTTTGCGACTCCTAAATCCTTCATATCAAATTCTGAATTTAACTGGTGTTTAACTTTTTGAACTTCTCCCATATGTTTAGTTGCTAAGAGCATGTCATCCATGTATAAAAGCAAATACAACATCAACCCATCATCACACTTCTTGAAATAAATGCAATTGTCGTACGAAGAATTAGATAAGTTGTATGTGGTAACAAAGGCGTCAAATCTCTTGTACATTGCTAAGGAGACTGTTTGAAGCCATTATAAGCTTGCACACGTGATCTTCGTTACCCAGAACCACCACGAAGCCTTCTTGTTGCCGCATAAAATCTCTTCCTCAAATTCACCATTCAGAAAAAAGGTCATTACTTCCAAGCTCAAAATCATTGGACACGACCATCCCGAGCAATGCACTACAGAAGTATGTTTCGCTACCGGTGAGAAAATGTGATTATAGTCAAAGCTAGGAATTTCACCATAACCTCTTGTGACCAACTGAGCTTTATACCTTGGCTTTTCATCTTGAGTCATCTTTTCCTTAAAACTTATAAAACCGCTTGCATCCAACCGACTTTTGCCTTTAGGAGCAGCCGGCACAAGCTCCCAAGTACCATCCTTTTGTAAGGATTCTATCTCCACGTGCATTGCCAACATCCATTTATCCGCATCTTTTAATTTCATATCCCGACTACAAGCAGTAGGCTCAACAGTGCGTTCCATTTTTATCTCTACACTCAAAACATATGCTAATAGTGCATTCCATTTTTTCTGCTACACTCAAAGCATATGCTACTAAATCGGCTTCTTAAGTATACCGTGCGGGGTGTACAATTTGTCTTCTTCCCCTATCTCGCGCAATGCATGGTTCATGCACTTATAGCGAAGGTTGTGATGAAGAATCACCTACCACTTGAACAACTCTAGTGGAAGAAGAACATGAAGCATTAGTATCATTGGTAACGAGAGAGCTCGATATGGAGTAATATGTATAGGAGATAGCGAATTGTGTAACATAGAATACTCATCAAAAATCACATCTCAGCTTATAATAAATTTCTTCGTTTCCGGGCACCATATCTCAAAAGCTTTTCACCGCATCTTTGTATCTAAGGAATTTGCATTTAACGGTCTCCGTTCCAACTTCTTATTATCAACACGTGGTGGGGAAACCAAAGATTTTTAAATTAGTGTAATCATTCGGTGATTCGTTCCAAACTTCCATAGGAGTCTTCTTGTTAATAGCAACCAAGGTAGACCCATTTCTGATATAACAAAAGGTAGACGCCGCTTCCGCCTAAAAAGACTTTGGCAAGTTGATGTTCAAAATGCTCTTCTTCATGGCCACCTTACTAAAACAGTCTATATGAAGCAGCCTCTAGGCATTACTGTCCCACAATGATCAGATCATGCTTATCTACTCCACAAGTCCATTTACGGCCTCAAGCAGGCCCCACGGGCTTGGTTTAACTACCTTTCCAAGACTCTTCATATCCTTGGCTTTGTAGGCTCCAAGACTGATCCTTCACTGTTTATTTCTAGTCATGCTGGCACTCTTGTATACATCTTAGTGTATGTTGACGACATCATCATCACGGGAAACAATATTGCTGCTATCGACATCATCATCACGGGAAACAATACTGTTGCTATCGACATCATCATTCAACAATTGGGCTCAACTTTTGGGATAAAGGATCTAGGCCCTCTAAACTACTTCTTGGATATTGAGATTATCCCTCAAGGACCAGACATCATCCTTTCTCAAAAGAAGTACATTTTGGAGCCCTTACAACGAGTAGACCTCTCAGACTCTAAGCCCATGCCTTCCCCCATGA